ACCATATAATTGACCCTTTCGAAGTTCTATAGATACTCAGCTGAAAAGTTATGCTTACTTAGATTGCTTTCTTAAAACTCTCTCGGCCATTTTTCATTCTTCAAGCTACTGTAATCCAAAAGAGATTCGTAGGGAGAAATAAGCGGATACAGCGCTATTTATGGAAGTCGCTTTACTTGAGACAAAAACTTTCATTCCTTGTTGAGCCAAGCTTTGTGTCACCTTAAAGCACCAATGGAGATTAGCAGGAATTTGTTTATGTTGTGCAACTTCTCCGAGCAGCCGACGGTCCTATCTGTCCCACCTGTACGGAGTTACGAACAAAAATAGTCAACGAAAGCTTTATCAACTTCATTGATCGTGCTTCTTAAAATGGTAGGTTGGTGGCAAAGTTCAGCGGCTGTTCAAAGAACAAAACCAATGTTGGCCTCTACAATAAGTAAACAAACTAAGCATTGTTATTAACGTTGTAAGGCCACTCTGCAAAGTGATCTACCGGTATTAAGGCCCGATTTGAACAAACACCTTTATCGTACCTGCTCCGTCCACTGCCTGACAAATGAAGAAAGTCATCCTATTAATGGATGGCAAAAGCTATATGCGACGTCGCATCGTGTGGGTCTAGCGGCCCTTATGTTGCGCCCACATAGTTATCGTAAATATTAGCTCAATAAATTTCTGGATTGTCCGCTGTTCGGGGGTAAGTAGACGCCTGCCAACCGCCGTTGGTGCTTTGAGATGCTACAAAGCTTAACTCGACAAGGAATAAAAGTTTTCGTCTCAAGTAAAACGACTTCCATAAACAGCGTTGCATCCCCCAGGCCTCTTCTCTCTACGGATCTCTTTAGGCTTACAGAAGCTTGAAAAATAAATGGATCCAATAGAGAAAGCCTATACTTGTAAAGCTTAAAAGTTCTAATTATGACGATATTGGCCGACATATATATATACCTATATATATATATATATTGCAGTGTATACATAAAAATGCTTTATGTATTATAATATAATAGATAATCAGCTAGAAACTACGCGATGCATTCCGATAGCTTTGCCGAATGCCTTTGCGAATGCAAAAAAAAGCTGAACGCTAGCGATTTATCGTGTCAGTTAAAGGTAAAGTTATATAAAGGTTTTCCCTCTTTGTCTGAAAATTAGCTACAGTAGGTCAATGTACCGAAAAGTATATACTGTACATGCTTACTTAGAGTGGCCTAGCCTACCTAGTGCCTCCTTTCATGTTCCTGATTTGGGTCCTAGACATAAAAAAAAGTCACATTCTCATGTAGCATGCCATAGAATCATTCACATGTTAACGTTTGTGAAGTTTGCTTTTATGTTGCTTTTAATTTTGTCAAAAGGCGTACACTATACGGAATTAAATGCGCTTGGCTAACTTTGAAGGCCTACGAGTAAAGGCAATCATAAAATGTCCATATAGATAAGCTAAACCGCATAAAAGATTGCCGTCGAATTAGGAAAAAACCGACGCCATAATTATAATGTTAACTTGCAGTTAAAAACATGGCGTCGGGTTAATAGATGCTTTAGCCAGTCAAATTATACTAAAACATAAAACTATAAGTAAGCAACGCCAACTTTGAGAAGGTTTTTATTAAAACTAAGAATAAATATTTGTATAGAAGAATAAATATTTGTAGCATAGATAGGATTGTGATATGTATCATTGAACATGTTAACTGGTAGTGAAGCACAAAGGTCCCTTATCTGTTTTTTTGAAATATACGTTCTATATATTTTAAAATATAAGGTCACACATCTTCCTGCATAAAAGCCGACAGTCAGGATACACAGGCTGAGCTAAAGGAGTGCAGTTCCAGTAGTCCTTGACCTTTGTTGTATACTAAATCAAGCTGTTTGAATTTTTAACGTATCAAAATGAAGGGCTGATTTACACTATAGCGGCTACTTATTTTGGGCAACTATGTTAGGCAAAGACATTTAGGAATAACTAAGTCTCGTTTCCTGTTATTCTTAACGGCTCTACTAGATCTAAGACTGAGAGTCTACTCAATCACAAGGCCCGTCGGTATCTTTCCGAACGGCACATCTAAAACATTGGTTACTATCCGATACTCAGATAAGCTGTGAATTCTTACAGGGAGGGGGCCTCAAAAGTGAACTTTGTTAGTCAACGAAAGCCATGATTAGCTTGACTTGTATCATTTTAAACGACTTAGGGGTTTTTCTATTATTTCTTCAGAAGTCCCACCCCAGACTATATCGTAAGCATTACAATAAACATTTTATGGAAGCACGATACGCCAGATAAAGGTACATATACGAAGATCATCGTTGTGAAGTTAGACACGGTTTAGTACAAAAGCTACTAATACCCTTTTATTATTTATTCGAAGTATGCCTAATTATTATGATTATAGATTTTCAACAATATCTCAGTCACTTTTCATTCCATTATAAATAAGCTATTATAAATTCGAAATGGGTGACAAAAACAACAATTTTCTAAAAGAAGAAATACTTAAAATTAATAGTAATACTTCTTTTTTTTAACATTGCTTAAAATTCGAATTGAGGAGAAGTGCTCTTCTGACGATTTACGTCGACAAGTTTCGTTTCTTCGGAACGTCAAATTTCCTATTGCCAAAGTTTGCCTATTCGCTATTGTTCCTTTACTTAATGTCGTAGCGAAACAATACCCCATGTATAACACAGAAAGCCCTGGCGCCGGGTGAAAGAGCCCTACCGCTTGCCATCTTGCTATTCATCGTTTTCGGTGGCTTACCTAGGCCAAAGGAGCTGGCGGGAGGACAGTGACTCATCAGTGACTGTATCGTCAATGTCAGGCCACAACAAGGATCGTGATCAAAATGTCTTCAGCATTAGCGTCTGTCAGATTCATCAACCATTCGCGCTCAACAACAGGCCTAAAAAGGAACCAATCATTCCTTAGATGACTGTCGTTTTTCGCAACATGGTATCGTTGTGCTAGTAGTGTTCGATTGTTACGATAACGTTTTCTGTGTATGCTCTGCGATAGTGGAAATGACGAGGAATTAAAAAAAAAAACAAATTTCTAGGATCACTCGCCCTGTGTTCATGCTGCTGCTGCTGCCGCCGCTTTTATAGGTTTTTTTTTGTTGATGTCAGCCACTGGCCATAAACAATAATCCGAGTATAGACCGAAACTTGCTTTGACCGGCTCAGGCCATCCAGCCGGCCTGCCACTCATTGTCCTATTGCAGTTATCTAGTTCTCCTATAGAAATGTTCCAACAATTTAGTTGCCCTATTCAATTTATTTGCTCAACCCATTCCAGTAACAGTGAGTATGGTTCGGGTGATACTCAGCTGCGCATAAAGCATGTATTTATCGCAAAAGTTATACTTTCACAGTTACCCGGCTGCAATTGTTCTGAGACCCAGAGAACTATCAAATGCTGGTGTGATCTGTACGAGATATATTCTATAGCTGAAAGCTATACTCAAAAATTACATTAGAGAAGTTCTAAAGAATGAGTCATGTGGTGTCGGTGATATTTTCCGCCTCCTGTACTTCTTATAGTGCTATTTGTCCTGTGCTTGTCTATTATATTGTTTGATGCAACCCAATATCTCCAACTTCATAAATAGTCTCCACATCGGAAGCTAATTTTCGTTGGTTTATCTTAAAGATACCCGCTCGACGTGGCCCCCATGGGTTTCTCCTTCACACTGAAAAAAGGGCCTGCATCGAAACAGCTATTCAAAGATTAGCGCGGCATAAATCGTTATCGGCACTTGTATAACGTGCGCAGGTTCTGCTGGATTCGTAGCCTTACGATACTCGGAACTTACTTTAATCCGCTCTTCGCCACACCCTTGCAGCTGCCACCTTCTGCCCTGTCAAACACGAAGCAGACGCCGTGTTGTCGACGTGAGCCAGGCATGCCCAAACAGAATTACGGGACGCAAATGCGCCAAACAAAGCAAGGCTTTGAGCGCAAATAAATTTGGTAACGGCATAGTGCTGGCAATAATACTCCGTCTGCTGATTTTAGCCCCTGACTTTGTCGCCCTTTATCGAGCTCTAGCTCGGACGCTATTCCACCATCGACCAATAACAAGCCGACAAACGTTTCTTTTGTTTGCGCTCCCCTTTTAGAACCGATAATTTTACGTTGAGTCGAAGCAAGCCGAAAAGCCTATACGGGTCTCGTTCAGGGCAGGTTCTCAGCCATAGTATATATCCAGGCGCTGTTCCCGGAAGTGATATCTGTATTACAACGTTCACCCCTGCATGGTTATTTGGAATGTCAGAGATATTCAGACGCTGCAGTTGTCCCTACGAGCCTGAGAAGAGGAAGCAGTCTACCGAATAATACAGCGCTGACGGATTCCGATAACAACGCAATATTTCTGATTTTATGTCGTTCGATACAAGGCTAGGTTAGAGCAAAGCGCTCTGTCGTCCAAATGAAATCGAATTTCAAATGCAAGAAATCAAAATAGTGTCAAACGTGCACACAATGAGGAAGCTGAGAAAGCTAAAAATGGATGTGATGTTTTTCGTTAGTTGCAGCCATATTTGATGATTCGAAAAGACGGGACACTGCCTTCTCATTTAGCATAGACAACCCTGAGTGCTACAATGTGTCCGCGAGCTATCCGTCATAGCGAATCAACATTCAGCTCCATGAAGTAGGTACGGGACAACAAATAGATAGAGTAACCAACGCCAGCATGCAAGCTGCGTCGATTGGAGTCTGCCACCCGTATAGGCATCAAGTTCTTTTATTATCATTATTGCTGTTTATATGTATGGATAGATGTACTAATAACATCTAGAAACAGTAGACATACGTGTAGCAAAATCAAGATCCAATTAGGCGCAATACACGCATGGCAGACTATGTCCCGTGCTATTCTATGTCACGCTGCCGCTTTTGCTGGAATGGACCTTGTCGGCTTGGGTTCCCGTTACTTTGTTTCATTTGTACGAAAGCTTGGTCCTGTAGAGTGTCACGTCCTATCGTTTAGTAATACGGGCCATAACCGGCAGTTCGAAAAGGGAACAAAACGTCCATGATGTGGTTGTTGGGGCTAGGCCCCCACGACAAATTAGTTTAAGCGAAAGTAGACAGGTACGCGAGGCTGCTGGACATAGATAACGCTCGAGGTATTTAACCTGCGAGACGTCAAAGCAGATGGCTGAACGCAAAAACAAGTAACACAGAGATGTTTCTTGTTTCTTTTAAGAAAGGAGGCCCACTAGTGTTAAGGTTTTTCTGTCGAATGATAGAATAGAAGTGCTTTAATGACTCTTGAGTAAGAACGTGTGCTAGAGAAATGTGTATTAAACATTCCTCTAGATTGAAGAAATTCTGAAAAGAGAATAGAGAAAAGATTTTCTCTAGAACTTTGGTAAAATAAGATTCGATCTCCAGTAAAAGATCCAAAAGTATTGCTATCTTTAACCGGAATTCAACTTGCTTTTTTGTATCTACAGAAAAAGTAGGACAGTTTGTGTCAATATTATGCATATCTGCCGCATGTTTTTTCTAAGAAGTGACTTGCTGTAGAACTCAGATTAAGGTCTAAATAAATAAATGTTTCGAGTATTACGTTCAGCATCGCCGTTAACCACTGCTTACGGACTCTCAGCACGAAACAAATTGAGAAAATAATTTAGTAAATGCGAATTAACGAGCGTTAAGCTATAAAAAATCGAACGCTATTTGCGAGCGATATATGTATATACATGTATATATATATATATTTTTTTTTTAGTTAGTCCCGTCGAAGAAAAACCACTGTGACTCGTTCCTACATTGTGCTGTCGCACCGACCAGCCTATAGACACCATTAGCTACTTTGCCTACAACTTCGGAAACTACTTTCGATTAGCTTCCGCAATTGTAGGACGACAAGGTCCTTATGCTAATGCTTGCTCTACGTCGCCTTCGAATAAGGTGACAGCCTTTTCTTGCTAAAAAGACACTGGAAGTCTGTGTGACGACGCAGCGTCCATACAGCTTCAACTAGCCTTATACAATTCGGATAGTAGTTCGTCGCAGTCACACAAGCTTTTAATGTCGTGTCCTTCTTGCAGGTCGCCCAGTGTCCTGGCTTTTGTATAATACAACAATGTCGTACACAGTTGGATAGTTTAAAAACTAAAATCCTTACAGACCGTGTTGGCCTCTACTTGGGTGATTTCAATCCCTCTTGCCTTGAATTTCTATTAATTTTTCTCTTATATACGCCATTATGGAGCGTTGATAACGTTCAACCGTAGAGTTTCGTGTCTGCTGGGCCCTAAGGCCGTCATAATGCCCTGGGCAAATCCAGGACCTATTTACACAATGTCAAAAAGCAAATAGCGGCAGCACTAGCAGCAGCGTACGATCAATTCATACGGTTGTTTAGCTCCTAGCACGACGAGTATATATGCATAGGTATGGCCACTATGCCGTTGGTTGCTAGGCGTTTCATAGCCAACAACCAAAATACCTACCCACAAAGCATGGTTTTCTGGGTAGGTATTTTAGTGTCGATGAAATGAACCCCCGCAAAGAGCGGATTCGCTGGCTGGCTGCGAACGTTTCTGGTGAAGCCGATATGAACTCCAGTGGTTTTGAGCTAGCTAAATAAACGCAGCGTACATTGCCATAAAAATAGATTATACGCATTTATTTATATTCGTTCGAAAGGTTCCTTGGCTAAACAAAAAGTAGCACTGACCCACACTTTGTTATTGTTGTTGTTATTGTTGTTGTTATTGTTGTATTATTGTTTCATAGTTTTTCGGGCGCTCAAGCCTGCGCTTGTTGCCTCTCTAATGATACGAAATTGGTTGACTATGTGAAGTACATCGCACTTGTCAGCTAGCCTAAATACGCGTATTTGTACAGGATATGTTTTTTTTTTTTTTTTTTTAATAACAGGCGCTCGTTGTTGTGTACTCAGTTGGTGCCCCATCAGTCAAGCAATCTGGCCAATAAACTAGTGCAGTAAGCTGTAATCTGTCTGTGTTAATAAATATAGTAACGACAGTAAACATACATGATAAGGCCGTTCGTAAACCTTGTAAGGGAACTAATGCATGAAAAATAAGCCTGATAAAAGGAGGCTCAATGCTTGCACTTCGCGAGCGCAATTTGCTAGGCAGGTCAAACAGCTCTGTAGGTATGGATGCAAGTTCGAAGAACAGATGTTGGCATACAATCGAACTTACAATAGAATTAATAGTGACGAAAAAAATAGCACGAGAGGGGAATGAATAGATCAATAGGCAGATTTCCTTCGTTCGTATTCGAAGTCGTAAAAAGTTGCTTTTCTTTTACATTGGAGCAGTAACTATAAAGGCCAAGACCATGCTACAGGACACCTCTAGTCGAGATCTCGATGAATATAAAACGGATTACATTACAGATGCGAAATCAGTTATGTGTGTAACGGAAACCTCTAGCTAAGATCGTAGACTTTCTCATATATATAGTACAATAATTCTTTCTAGCAATTCACTGCAGAAAAGAATAAAAAATCGAGACAGGAAGATTCCTTGACGAGAACTCTAGGACTATACTTAACTTCCATAGGTAGCCATATATTGTACAACATGAGTATACCTCTCGTATATGAAGAAGTGTGGACCACATCATTCGGTCGTTCATTTTCGGCATCGGTCGGCGTATATTTTCGAGCTAGGCAGGAAGACAGTTCTAGCCGATGAGGATACTATAAGTCCTCATGATCTCATATATCCTCAATGCGTACCGAAAGCTGCTGCATTGAAGCTCCCGTTCAACGCACACAAACGAGAAGAATTAGGAGCGATTCAGACTACTTTAAAACATCCACAACGAATCCCCGACGTTTTTGTGCATCAGCTTATATGTATATGTACATATCCTGTTGATTAGCGCAAACGGTACTTTCACGTATAAATTTTTTTACAGTTCATCTGAAAAACACTTGCCGAAAGTCGAAGACAACAAGTAAATAAAGAATAAACACAAATTGATGAAAAGCCTTACCTTTGTTTGCGACTTTGATCATGTGCGTGAACGAAACAGACGTATAACTAGTGCCCGGCGGCACGAGAGAAACCCTAATGCAGCGCCGTTGTCCTATGATAAGGTTATATGAAGCTGGATTAGCTTCTATTTGTCTTATCTTTCTCCGACTGCATTTGTTTCAACACTGTATTGGTACCTCTGCGCATTCATATAGACACCTAACTACCGCCTCGCGAAATCAAGCAATGGCTATAACTATAATGGAGTTGGCTATAACTTAGAGATTATCGAAAGGAAAATGCTCGTTGCGGGTAAATTTTTTTGACTGATCTGCGTTTCACTGTACACCGCTGAATTTCTGAGCCGCCCGGTCAGTGAAATAGCTTACCCTCGACGACTTGCCGTATGCTAAAAATAGTATCACTACCTGGCGCTCGCAACTTGGTGAGAGGCGGCAGAATTTAAAATTATTTATATTATGCATCTTGTGTATCGGATCGCGCACCATATCTCCCATTTCGCGCTATTTACTAATTAAAGGGCCTTCTGAGAACTTCGAGCGGGCTAGGTATCAACCAATAGAACCGTCCAGTCTAACCAGTTCTCGTCCATCCTTCTGCTACCACTCGCTGCTGGAGACGCTGATCTGGGCGTCTGACTTTGATGCTGCATGAAAGGATATAAGGTGGAAACGTAGGGCCAATCTCCTATTTATGGATCCATGAGTTGTAACGTGTCTGAAGTAATGTGTTATATGCGCGATGCCTATCTTAGTGCGTATTAATATAACGCCAACGGTGTGCAAAGGAGTATTTGTGGCTCCGCTTAGATGACATGCTGAGTAATTATCAGCTAAGCGAAGCGTTGAAATCAATATTTCCAATGAATTAAATACATTCGACGATGTGTTTTAACTTCGATAACCAATCGACGCTGCCTAATGACTTATAGAATGAACGTTAAGTCTGCGTTTCGTAGTACGTAAGGAAGATTGACGCACGTAACAACTTCAACTGAAGAATGTGAACGACGAAACGAGAAGAACTGCAACTAACCTGTAGATTGAAATAAGGTGAAGAATGAACAGCATCAGGGATGGCTAAAGACAAAGGAGTGGTGTGCTATTATTGGGATCGATACGTGATGGAAATTAACCAGTAACTGGCAATACTATTCCACCGTAATGATGCATGTATTATGTATATACAGGTAATAACAATTTGAACTAACGACGTTTCCCATTTAGCGCTTAAGTAGTATGGCAGACTAAGAAGTTTACTATACTTCCTTAATATCGAATTATGGAGACAATACGTATAAAATCTTTGTTTTTTTACTATAGTACACCGCTATTTACCTTATGGAGTAATATCTGCTTCTAAAAACAATACTTAGGTTAATAGAAAAACTTAAATTTTTTAAGCCTCGGTCCATTTTACTCAGAAGTGTTCATCCGAACAAATTTATGATACGTATCTGATTTCGGCACTCACCACCAAAGAACTTGGTCGTAACATGCACCCATTTTTTTTCGATTCACTTATATTACTTTCCCTTTAATAGGTTGTGGCCTGTGGCCAAAAATCATCTTGTGTACCTGATTTTTTCCCAGTTGCCAAACCTTCATACAACGGAACCTCCAATATCCTCGTTGTCATTTTTCTTCCACGTGCTCGCTTATTACAACTACTAAAGTCCGTCGAAAGCAAAACATCATTATGGCTTGGCGCCAACAGTAAAGAGCAATGAATCACAATAATCAAGGGCGAGACACCTTTACCCAGACCACTAGCTATAACCCCACTTCGCTTGAACGACTCCAGCGTAATGTCAGGAGCCCTTCTACCGTTAACTAACGTAGCAGGACTTTCGTCTAGCTAGCGTACGTCACCTTTCTTCGAGGTTACAAAGCCGTTCTTCGTCTCTCCTCAAGGGGTGATTTGAAGCGGAAAAGGGAACGAAAATCGAGATAGATTTGTCATTTCTGAAGAGAACAGTACGACGATATTGATGAAAACAGCAGGAAGCGAGCACATTTGGCTCTTTATGCCTCTAAAAACATCTGTACCATGTAAAATTGAAGCTGTTATGTGAGCCGATGACAGTCATTGTGGGGAGTACTCAATCGACGTTGTTGTGTCGGTGCCAGGAACGCTGCAGATGATTTATTGCGTGGAACAGCGGGGTTGCAAGATGCGCAATAGAGATATATGCGCATGTCAACTATGGGATACGTTCCGTGGGCCGAGGGCTGAACATGAACAGGCCGAGCTGTTCATATTTTTTTCAAGTCAGGAAATCGTAAGGGTGCTTGAACGACACGGCCGAACTGGGGACTCGATAGGGGACATGACATAACGCAAAGATGAAAAAGTAAATAGCCAAGTTATATATTTTGGAACATGTTAGAATGGTCCTTATAATACGAGGTAAACGGCAGCCAGCTGTTTTTCTCGTCATAGCAAACTTTCAGTGTTCAGCGACTTGAATAGATATGTGTCATATATTGAATAGATATGTGTGCCTTCAATAGATTATGTGTCACATTACTCTCGAAATAGGGTCGGTGGCCGATTTAACAGAATGCATATGAAGCCCGTACCTTTGTCTATGGTCCTAATTGAACTTCATGTGTGTGGCGATCTCATTCGTTTGTTTACAAGTAAAAACGGCCTGCTTCACTGGAGTCGAGCCACGAGGTGAATTTAAAGGCGTGGCGCCTCACGATGCGGTATCTTTCCCGTGTTTGACAATCGTCGTCTAAAATTTGAATGCGCTATTCAGTCAAACCAATATTAATAGCTGTGAATCATCGTATGTAGTGTAAATGTACGTAATGTAAATTTTAAATTAAATTCAGTAGGTATATAAAATATAGAAGTATAAACCTAAAGTATCTGTTACTAACATTACTAACTAATTGAGAAGTATTAACAGACTTGTTATTCCAATACTTCCCCGTTTAGTTCGATATACGTACGATGCGCTGCCCAATATCAACGGACTGATTAGCTCAAGAGACTAACACGCCGTTGGTCTTGACAATGGCGGATTGCCTCGTGTCACCGTGTCAATAGTAGTGAGCCTTATGATGTGTGTGTGTGTTAGATCGAAACAATGTGCCCGTTTCGCTGGCCCGTTAGCTACCAGTGGTCAACAATGTCGCCGCAAAATCTATTTTTTTAGGCCTCATATTTGTTCCTGCTGGTCGAGAGCCTATGGACAATCAGAGAATCTGGCGTAGACTCGAACCCGGAAATAGACGCATCTTGTTTCGTGTTGGCAGCCAGACGTCTTATGAAATGCTTATTGGCAATACCGGAGGTAGAGACACAGAAAGAGACCGCGAACGTGGCAATTGATGCTAGTTGCGTCAAATGATGAAAAATATCCCTTACGTATGCAAACCACTTCAGCGGCGTCCCAAAGACTTCAAGGCAGCTGTCTTACCCCCCTCCAATGCCATATACTTATGTGCTCCACAAGGACCCAAAACGCCGTAGGGTTTCTAGAAGCTAGGAAGCTCAATTTAGCTGTGGAAGTAATCTTGGCCTTAGGTACTGTCTACAGGTACTACGAAAGAATGGGCTCCATTGGATCGGTCTGCATGTCACTATGTCTAGAAGGGACTCGAGTTACAGACGAGGACGTCACAGAGTAAAAAAATGCGGTGACTATAAATGAAGACTGTCAAATGTCAGCGGCTCAGCGGATCCAATCTCCTTCCTAGTCTCTGTGAGCATCGATCTATGTTTGGGTTGACCTTTTCGAAGGGTAGAACTGTCTATTCCTTACTTCACATTAGAAAATACCCTAGACGCAATTGGATAAATTCAAAATGAACAAAGACACCCGCTGAGACCCATTCACTACGGAGAAGAGGAGAAGCCAACAATATTGGTGGGGGCGAGCAATACGATGTGATTCGCATATAAGGACTACTGTCAACATGGGCGACTCCGAAATAGAGCAGGGTTGTAGGTTTTTTTCCTAGTGCAAAAATCATTGGCGTTAAATAAAAAAAAAACTTTAGATACTGAACTTTTAACGAAATTTGATTACTCCTGAATGTTTGTTATATATTTTTACTCCGAAGATGGACGAATTATTCAATATGAGAATTTTAAAGGCGAAAGCATTTCACCCAACTTAATTACTCTATAAAGATTTTGCTATAAAAATACCAGACGTTCTTTTAGTTCTTTCTGCACCGATATACAGTAACATTGAATCAGTTTGCATAATTTCACCGTATCACCGGTACATTTTTTAATAAACCTTTTTTGTTGATTTCCTGATTGGATCGGCTATCCTATTGTCCATGTAGCTTCCCTAATGGAATTGAAGGCGGCTGAATAAATTGTCGACTATGATGCAACGGTAAAATGGTGCCCTATATATTCAGTTCCAGAGAGGCAGTATAATTTGCCAGTTTGAGGCACCTTCATTATCTCCCACCATTGCCGTACCTGGATCTCGATGCCCTCGATCTGACCGAATTTGGGGGATCTGTGCTCCCCGACGGCGATTATTATAACCTAGGTGAACGACGGTGTGCTCATAGCGGTCAGTATGAATGCTTACGTGAAACAACAACCTTATCATAGGCGGCAAAAGACAGGCTGTGCAACATTGCACCTCATTATAATACGTAATAAATGCAAGAAGTACATAGCTCACAGGCACGCGCCTTTGAGCTATGTTTTGGCTCAGTTTGTCGTGTTTTTCCCTCACTCTCTGTCTTGTTCGTTCACTCTGTCTCTACAGTTCTACTTGTCCTGCAAATCTCCGCCAAAACCTCCTCACCCGTTGGAGCGTGAATGCGGCCTGATGTTGAAACAATATGGAGTCCCTAAACGCAAAAAAAGTGATCCTAGCTTTGTTTCTCAATAGCGTCTAGCATCTGTGTTTACGTTTAAAGTAAAGTATGCCAAATTCAAATCTCGGCCAAATGTTCCAGGCGGCATTTAAGAGAATTCGACTATGTAGAGAATCGGCTTTTTCCTCGGCACCAATTCGCTGTCGTTGAGTGCTGATGGACAATGACGCGTTAACAATCATTGTGCACATATATATGATAACCTCGTATTTATGGAGACGAAATGATATTCACGTCCCTCGAAAAATCAGTCTAACGCTCAAATCATATATTATTATGCATGACTATAATGGAGACGCCTTTAAAACCACGACAAAGATAAAGTTTCATTCCAGAAACACGTCCGTACCCACCGAATCGACTGTTGGCCACGAAAAATGGTTGGCCGCTGTAAAGGCCAATCGGATTGCATGATCAGTAGCGAGCACTTCGATGGATGTCCATTTATACGTAGATTTCGACGCAAC